TTTTAGTTTTCATTTTTGTGCTAGAGTATAGAGGAAATGAGAATGAGGATGAGATTGAGAGAGAGAATGATAGGGGAAGATGGGAGTAACAAAAGTGAAAACAATTTCAAATAAATTTTTGTTTTAGTTTTGGTTTTTGAACTTACTTTGGAAGCTTTATCAATACAATATTCAGTTTTTATAAAGACTTCAAAATTACATTATATGCGGTGATGATCTTTTATTGCAACATCTTAGGTTTCCTTGTTTTTTTTTTGTGCCTCCTCCAAGCCAGCAAAAGAAGAGGTTTGTTGAGGCTGTGCCTCCTCCAAGCCAGCAAAAGAAGAGGTTTGTTGAGGCTTTTTGTAGAACTGTTGGAGAGCACTAGCAGATTGAGCAGAGGGACAAATTTTCGACACCTCCAAAGCTTTCTTCGACGAGAGGAGGTGCACCTCCTTATGCCTCTGTAAGTCTACAACTACTTGAGTTTGCTTTTCCTACGGATGGGGAAAACATTTTTTACACAGTTAGTACCAAATAAACTCCATTATAAATTAACAATACTATTTTTGTTCATAAAAATTCTTAATATTTCAATTTCTTGTAAAGGTATTATTGCAAAGCCAAAAATATTTTGAAATGGAAATAAAGTTAATTTCCTGGTTACTATTTCCCAACATTTCCAAACATGAGAGTGAGAGAGTTTGTCATCCTCATCTACGGGAATGAACATAAGAATTGCATTCAAGCAACTAATTCCGCCCAAAAGGACCTTCCTAGCATTTTCCAGAAGAATTTGACCCCAAAAAAAAAAAAAAAAAGCATTTTCCAGAAGAAACAAAAACAAAGAAGAAAATAAAGGCGCTCTTCAAGGGGTCCACTGGGCCAAGACTTCTTGGAAAGTTGGTAGCAGACCCACCTGACTTCCTCCAAGTAATTGTGGCTGACATAGAGCTCCTGCTTGTAGTAAACCCAATCTTTATGTTTATGGGCCTCGTAGTCTCTTTCCTGGAGCTATTGCCCCCAAAGGGAGGCCCTTGCTCTACCCTGAAAAATGCACAACGGTATTTAAATCTTTTCTTTCTTCTTCTTCTTCTTTTTTTTTTTTTTTTGTGACAAAAAAAGGAATTTAGCAAAGTTTTGTAATAACCATAATGATCAAAATTGAGCAATCTGACTTCATACTTCTTAGTTGGCACACACACTGACCTATAAATAGAACAAATTTTTGTAACTTTTGTTTTTATGTGATATAAGAAAAAAGTTATATATATATATATATATATATTGGTGAAATAAGGGGGAAACCCGGAAAAACAATAATTAAACACCACGTATGAGTTGAGGCCTAGCAAGACCAAGCAAGTCATCCACCAACAGAGAGCTAACCCAGATAGGAGTCTCATAAAAGAAGCAAATTTCCAGGTCCAGATTATAACTCCAATTTGCCAAACAATCCGCAACACAATTCTTTTCCCTTTCTCAATAGCAAGCTTTAGACCAAAATATAGACCCCAAACCTCAGCCTCCAGGATATGACCTTGGCCCAAATTCACTGCAAAACCGGCAACCAGTCACCCGAGGAGTCCCCAATAACACATTCTGCTCCAATAATATTAGTGGCAACCCTTCTAGAACCATCCACATTCAGCTTAAGTTAGCCAATTGTAGAAGGTTCCCAAAGCCAAAAAAACATGTATTATGTCAGGTTTCTAGCGAAAGCCAATAGCGGCTTTAACCCACTCAACAACCACAGTAAAAATGGTTTTCCCGGGATTAAAAGGCATATCCACTTCAACATTAAAAATCTTCTTGTTACGCCAATTCCAGATATGCCAACATGTAATGGCAAAAATAACATTCCATCCAATACCATCAAGATCTTTAACCTTAGAGAGCAGATTGCCTAAGAGCCAAGGTTTTAGCTCAAAGAGGAAGAAATGAGGAGAAGCGTGTAAATTTAAAAGAGAATTCCATATCATCATAGTCCTGGACAGTCCCTAAGAATATGAATAACATATTCAATTTTATATTTTAAGTATGTCCTTATTGTAAAAAAAAGTTATATGTGATCCGAAGTCATTTGGTCATATAAACAGTGAAAAAGAACACAGTTCATTAAACAAAACTAAAACGAAATTGTGGATAATCAAATAACTAAATAATTTTTCTTTTTTTGGGTATGAATAATCCTTAAAAGAGAACCTAGAATCTGAATGATTTCAATCAATAGTGTATTGTGTAGAAATAAGATGATCCTAATTATATAAAGTCTTACTATATAAAACATTATAAATAAAAAATAGACTATGCATCAATCCAAAAGTGATGGTAATATTCCTCATCTCCTTTACAGTAAAAATTCGGGGTAGCTCCATCTCCATGGTAACTCCATGAACATATCCTAGTTGAGAATGAACCAAACAAACCTAACTTTCTTGTGGGATTAATTATCTTGACTTGTTGGTTTTCCTGTTCCTTTTCTACGATCATATTTCGCTGACATGAGAATTGGCTTAAATTCTTGACACCAGTGCACAAGACCAACTCTATTTTTTATTTCTTTTGATGATGAGAACATAATATATATATATAAATACCAAGTGACAGAAACATGTAGAACAACCCCATTTTTCTCCTTTTACCTTGAACTCTTCGGGCCTGTGTACCCCATGAGTCTATGTTCGTGTAATTTCTTTTTCCTCATTAAAAAAACACCCCATTTTTCTCTAGATTTGTCCACAAGTTGCAGAGGCTGGTGGATCCAAAGCAATTTGGATTGCAGTGCAGTGCAAAGAATAAAATTGCCTACTTCAAAATCACTGCTGTTATTTATAAATGAACAAAAGTAAGCATTCAGATCCAAATCGAAAGCTTTTCATGACCCTCAACCTGTCACATATTCATTATTCATGATTTATCACATGGACCCCCCAATTGGGGTTGAACCCTAAAGTATTACCAAATCATGTCCAATGCTGACAGAGAGCTACATCCCACCACGTGGTCGGCAAAGTTTTTGCCACGTGTTGTGACCTCATTGGCACAAGGATACAGTAGAGGTACGTGGAATTTTCTGCGGGCTCCACTTTGGTGGGCCACCCCACCGCCCAAACTGAAAAACCTACCTAAAGGTTAAAAAGTCATCCGTCCATATATGACAGCTTGGAAGAGTTGGAGGAGGGAGGAGGGAGGAGGGTACCCTTTTTTCTGTAGGGCTCTTTGCCCCTAACAAGGATCTTAAACTCATGAAAGTCTGAATGAAACGGCACGTAGAACTTTGTTAAACGGTAGGATTTTCAATCATGGTTGCAAATGTTTACAAAGCAAATCCCAAAGCCATGATCGCCTGCCAGCGTACGGAGTTTCAATTGCATGGATCACGGGGTAGATTTGTTCTTGGATTTTTAACTCGAAAGAATATTTTTAGTGTCCACTTGGTTTTTGAGTCAAATGACACAAAGAATGTCATGAATATTAGTGCAAACTTTAGCATGGATGAATAGAGATCACATTTATAACATCCATATACAATGAATGAAAACTTTACTTGTACACGTGAATGTTAACGTTAGTCATTCACGTGTGTGTAAAACTCTCGATATGTCTTATTAGAGATCTTAGCATGTTAAAATTAGGGTAATTAATACTAAATTGAATGTTAGTTCGTTAAATAGTGGAGGCACCTAAATGTTGCAAGATAAATTGAGCTGATTACGTATAGGAGCATCATGTATGACTGTGTTCCAATTCAGCCAAGGAGGCTAGGGAAAGTTGGGTCACAATTGGTCTTGAGTGTTCAAAATTTGTCGCCTAATAATTGGGGTCCACTAGCTAGCTTCGGGTCACACTTGGTAAAGAGGAGGCACAAGGTGATGGAACATACCAGGATGTGATCCACGTCAGAATTTTACTCATTTCTGAGAAGCAAATTGTGGCCATTGGTTATTAGGGTCCATAATCTAACGCCGGCCTAACGTTTTGTACCTTTTAGTGACTTGGACGTTGATGTTAAGCAATAAGCACGATTCTTCACAATTTGTCTGCTTGTTAAATTTTACGTTTTGGGAGGGAGGGAGGCATTCAATCGGGAGCTAGGTTCCCTCTAATTGCTATGTGGGAAGAGAGGGTAGGTTGCTTTGGTAATTCGATGATTGATCTCTGATGTATATAGTTATGCTTGTTTAATCTTTTATTTCTCTCGATATTGTCATGTTATAAAAAGAAAGTTGAGGTTGCTTTGGTAGTTCGATGATTGATTCTTAGTGTATACTTATGCTGTATCTTCGACACTGTCATTTTTAAATTTTAGAGAAGAGACTTAAGACTAATGAAAAAAAGAAGTAAATATGCCTAACAATAACTACAATGTCTTGGCATGCAATGGAAGGGTGTATATAGTCAATAATTGAAGGGAAAAAAGGGTTCATTTTCTTGCAAGAATTTAATTGAAATAGGAAGCAAAATGCCAAATAATATTTACCCTACCCCTATACTCTGAAGTAGATCGAATAGTAACATCTATCCATGGTAGAAATTGATATAGGAACAGAAAAAGGGCAATGATGAGAGGCAAAACCAGTTGTAATTAAGTAATTAGTAGTTACTTAATTAGGATTTGAAGATGCATATGAGTGCACAGAATGGTAATGTAACCCTGCAAGCCGGACTGCACAAAGCACAGGAGCACACACAACCAAAAGAAGAATGATGGCTTGCATGGAAAAATAATATGGCCTCCTCCATTATTTGATACCCCTCCAATCCAAAGATTACAAATTTTCAACTAGCCATTAATTAATTTAGACATTTTGTTTAAACCCAAGATCGATCCAAAAACTTTTTGTGTAACATTATTACCAATCCCTTGAATGTAGAGAGAGAGAGAGAGAGGGAGAGAGATGAGGTGTCAAATCCCAAGATTCCCCAAGTTCCACCACCCCATGGGTCCCTCTCTCTCATGCATCGACCTAAGGCAGTGAGAGAAGGCCTCTAGGCCTCTATATAAACCAATCCCAATTGATCATTTTTTTTCATTGCAACCATTGACTTCTGTTCTTTTCATTTCTTACTCTTAAGTTTGCCTACCTTTGATCAGTCTTCTTGTTTTTTTACTTCAATTTCTTCCATTCACTTCTTCAATTCCCATGGCCACTGCTCAGGTATTAATTCACCTTTCAATTTTAGAGTTTACATAGATTTGTGCTTATGATCAATTCAAGCTCTCTTGCAAATGTAATAACTAATTGAGATTTGACCCTTTAATTAAGTGTTAATCAAAGTTAAAGAGTACTGTAAATATATTATAATCTTGCAGGTTGTATCAGCAAAGACAGCCCTCCCTGTAGAGGACACAACTCATGAGGAACCAATTAAGGTTCAAGAAGTAGTGACAGAAGTAGCACCAGCTGAGGCAGAGGCTGTTGCAAAGGAGCCAAAGGAGGCAGAGACTGTTGTGGCTTCTGGTGAAGTTCCTGAGGCTGAGGTTGCAGCTGATGAAACCACCCCAGTTGAGGTTGAGACAAAGGAGGTGAAGGTGGTGGAGGGGGCCAAGGAAGATGTTGTGGCCAAAGAAGAAGCAGAAGAACCAACAGTAGAGAAGAGTGCTGAGCCAGAACTTGTGGAGGAGACTAAGGAGAAATTGAATATTGATGACTCTGTTGAGGCTCCTTCTGCAGAACCAATTGCTCCGGAGCCGGTATCGGAACCAGCGGCTGAAGATCCTAAAGAAGAGGTAGTGGTTAAGGAAGAAGAGAAGCCTAAAGCTGTTGAGGAAGAGAAGCCAGCTGCTGATGCTGCCGAGGAGAAAGTTGTCAAGGAAGAGCCAGTGGAGTAGGCTGAGTAAAAAGCTTATATATGACAGTTCAATGTGTCCCAGTGAATTTAAGTTGTATTAATTAGTGGGTATGTGGGGGTTGCTTGCATGTGAAGTGATCGATGTCTTTATAATTTAGTGGTCTAAGAACTTAAATAAGGAGTGATAAGGGAAAACAAGGTGTATGGAACGAGAAATTATTGATTGGTACGGATACACCATGTCAGCGATGTAGTTTCCACTCAAATGTACCCATGCTAGCTTGCCATATATATGGTAGACATGCATGTTAGATCTTAGATTTTCATATATGCATTGGGGTTTGGTTGAGTTTCCAAGTTAAAAGCTAATTAGAACCTGAAGAATTCTATTGTGGTGCATGTATGTATGTTTGATAGAAGATCATCATGGGGATCAATGTGTTGCATTTGAGTAATAAGATCTTTACTTGGTTGATGATAATTGTGTCACGTCCAATTTCTACTCGAACAATTTTTTTGTATATTCTTTCTAATATTTTTCCTTATCTCCTTTTCCTTTCCAGCAAATTTAAAGGTGTATGATCATGTGGTAGCACATCACGCTGAGAAGTGATTAAACTTTTTGAATTAATTTTTTATTTTTTGTGAATTCTGGTACATGGAGAATGAGATAGTGTACATGTAAACATTAGTTATTAAAAAAATATAACTTCTGACAGCCCATGAAGTACACTACCTAAAAAAAAAAAAAAATCCATATCCATCATTCATCTGAGTCTTAAATCAATCTTATTTTGTATCGAGGAAAAAAAACTAGTCTCATTGCGCATACAAGTTCATCTCTCAAAGAACTTAAAATAATGATTTTAGCACTTATCTTTTAACTATATGCACTCTAAATTGAATATTGGATGCCCTCCACCCTCCTACTACCTTGTTATGGGGCTACCAGGACTACATCAAAAAATGTTGGGGCTGCTCTATTTATCATGTTTATCGTGAATGTAATATGGTGGCTGATAGACTTGCTAACTTGGGCTCTTGCCTTGATTTGGGTCTCTGTACCTTTCAAGTGCCTCCCGATAGTATTCGGTCCTCTGTTGTTGATGACCTGCGCGGTCTTTGTAGGCCTCGGGAAGTAGTTTAGTGTTTTCTTTTGGGCATGGCCTCCTCTTTTCACCAAAAAAAATAATATTGGCCAAAAGTCACTTTTGGTCCCTGTAGTTTGGCACTTCAACCACTTTTGACATTGTAGTTTCAATTTCGTCAATTTTGCCATTGTAATTTCGTATTTGTAGCAATTCAAGGACATGTTAGTATTCTTGTCAATTTCTTTAACGATACAATGGGCAATTTCGTCAACCCAAAACTCTTGAGTGTAAAAGCTTGTTTGAAATTCTCTCCATTTCATATTAGGGCTCGAAATTCAACCACTAATCCCAATTTTTGAAGAACCCTAAACCCAAATGACCAATTTCAAGCCCTAATATTGAAATTAGGGGAGTTTCAGACGAGCTTTTATACTCAAGGATTTTGAGTTGATGAAATTGCCTCTTGTATCGTCAAAGAAATTGACAGGAATACTAACTTGTCCTTCAATTGCTACAAATATAAAATTACAGGGTCAAAATTGACGGAATTGAAATTACATGGCCAAAAGTGGTTGAAGTGACAAACTACAGGGACCAAAAGTGGCTTTTTTTATAATATTTTCGTACTCGCATAAGGACTGCACAGATGTTAAAAAACAAGTGTTAAAATTACTGGCCTATAATTATGCCCAAATACAAAAAGACTAATGTGACATGTAGTTCAAATGTGAAAGTGATCATGCAAAGCACATGGAAATGGAGTAGTCAGTGTAAATAAAAAAAAATACGACACATTTTATCAACCGTTCTATACACACATCAAGTTCAACAGTTCAATTTCAATATCATTAACTATAGAAATGCTTCCAATATATATTATAAAGCTAGATGGCCCAGAAAAGGAAAAGCAATCTAAACAACGTGAAGGACTCTTCCAACTTTTTTTTCTTGGGCATGGCCTTCACAACATTTGTCTTTTATATAAAATTCTTGGACATTATTGATCTAAAAATAGACTTCCACCAAGACCAAGCCCCAGTGGACAGATTTTATTTTTATTTTTAATTTTTCCATATTTTTGTTGTCCACTTGTAGCTTCGTCTTCCAACCGCTCTAAGCCACTAACGGTTGGCTCAGGTGCTTTTCCAAAGCATCCATGGCTTCACTGCTCATGAAACCTACAGTAACCAAAGGAAGAGATGAGGTGTATGTTGCAGCAGTGCCTCTAAGAGCCACAAAAGGGCCTGCCCAGCTTCTTGCCTCTTCTGCTTACTCTCTCAATCTCTGGGATTTGCAGCATTTCATGGTTATTGTTAAACCCTCCTCACCTCCACCTCATTCTCAGGTTCTTCTTGTCCCTCCAATTCTCTAGATAAGGTAGCTAGCTAGTTCACTAATTCTTTTGGGTTTTCTTGCCCAATTTTCCTTGGTTGGCTTTAATTTACCATATTTATTTGTGTTTTGCTTTGTTGGTGACTGGGATTGGATTGAATTGGATTATAGGTAGAATTGGATTGCATTGGATTACATTGGATTTGAAATGATAATACTAATTCAATGATGTGTTTGATACTACACATGATTATGGGGTTAGATTAATTGAAATGTTCTATTCTATGGCTTAGTCGGATTAGACATACTCCAATCCAACTTAATCCCAACATTTTGGTACGATTCATAATCCTACTATATTTGACTTTAGTAGGATTAGATATAATTCAATCCGTGTTGTTTTTGGGCAGCCAAACATTTGACTAGGATTATGAATCCTATCCAACTACATAATTCAACTCACCAAACGGGGCTAAGGCTTTTCTATCCATTTATCCTAACATGGGTTTTCTTAGTTTCTTAAATTTTATCTTCTAACATTGGTTTTTCTTAAATTCTTAGCCCACTACTATAAAAAAATAATAATTAAAAAAAAAAATCCAATCATGATCACTGTTTTCTTGCAAATTGAACAATTGTATCAGATATATGTTTCCTTCAATTTGCCATATGTGCCATTCTGTTTCCTTCAATACGAAAGTTTGAACTCCAATTCCATTGAGTCTCTTTTTGCAGGCCTTGGTTTTTGATTTTCAACCAAAAGATCCTGAAAACATATTTGCAGCCCTTGCAGTTCTATCTGGAAAAGCAATACCAGGTGACCCTACAAATTTTTGAATATATACAGTTGTTATTTTGTTTCTTGGTGTTCATATGGTATTTGTTCTTTCTAAATGTTAGGAGTTGTTCTTATGAGGAAGTTGTCAAAACTCCCCAGAAGCAAATGCTGGTTTGTTGGGTCTCCCAAAGCAAGTGCCATAGATACGGCACTTGAATTCAACAGAGTCTGGGACACTAATTTGAGGGTTGGCCATCACGATTGTCGAGATTATACCAATGGTAACAATTTATCTGCCTACTGAAATATATAGTTTCTTTTGCAAAATCAGCTACAGAGCCACACTACAATTCGTTAATCAATAAGCGTTTGCTCTGTTTCAGCATGTTTGATCATATATGTTTGTTTTTGAAGGCTTGGTCCAGTACCTAACAGGTGAAGGGTACATCCTGGAGCGTTTGAGAAGTAATGTGCGAGATTAGCTCCTCAGTGTAGGTCACACAACGCAAGCGTCCGCCCTCGATTTTGAAAGAGATGGGACTTAATCAAGCATGCTAGCCAATTTGACCAAAAGCAATGTTCTCTGATCTGCATGTATAATTTGTACTCAAAGTTTCATTAAAAAAAGAAATAAAGGAAATACTTAATTTTGTTGAACAGTGGACGAATGTGCATTTTCTCGCCACAATTGGGTCAAGAATCCTTTCCTCATTACTGTATCAAACTACCAATACCAAAGGTTTGCTATTTGGGATCCCTCTGTAACCTCATGACAAAAGGAGTGGTATGATAAAATTGTAAGGCCTCTAGACGTATGTAACTTCTTGAAAGAGACGTATGGGCCCAATGATCTTAAAAAAAGACAGAAAGAAAATGCAAAGTGATCTTTTTCACCAAAGAAAAAAAGTGCAAAAGTAATTCAAAGATGGTACAATTATTAATGTATGGCAGGGCTGTAGCTGTAAGCAATATGAATCTGATGTTGATTTCATTTCATTTTTTAGAAAGGCTGTTTGATAAGTTTTGATTGATCAAAGATGGTTTTCATTTTTGAAGAATTTTAAGAAATAAACTTGAGGAAACATTTCAATTTCCTGAATCAAATCGATATACAAATACTGCAACAATAACAAAGATGATCTGTTTCAATCAGCAGACTTACAGGGAAAGAAGCACAAACTAGAAGTCATGATTTGAACCCTTCACATATTAACAAGGGTATGAATTTGGTTAAGTCTGCCCAGATGAACAACTGTTTGAAACCATTTTGGCATCCCCTGAAACACAAGATCTTGAAAATTTCCACCGTTTGGGTCATAGAGAACCAGAGCTCTGCTTTTGTACTCCAACAAGATCTGGCCACTCCCCAAAACACACAAAACCCTCACATATCTTCCTCTGATAGCAATCTTTGAAATCTTCCATGATCTATCGACATCTTGTTTCAATGCCTTTGGCACATGGCTTGCTATGTTCAGCTCTTTGACCCAAGCTTCCTTCACACCATACTCCTTCATAACCCACATCTCCAATTTCCCAAAGCTGCAATAGAAAACTGCAGCAAGGCAGCTTCTTACGACCAGCAGATGATAATCCCACCTGTTTAAGCCATCAGCCTCAGGTTTTGGGACCTCCCTGAATTGCTCATCTCCCAAGTCAAAAGAGATGAGCTTTCGTCCTGGGTGGTACCTTCTTCTCCAAGTAACCCAGTGAAGCCTTCCATTGACCAAGACCTGTGCAGGCCAGTGATGAAGGTAGTGAGATGTTTTGCCTATACTTCTCCAATTGGAGCTTCCCAGAGTGAGAACTTGAACTTCTGATTGTGGACGATAGACTCGAAATCGATGCCATGAGCCTCTATGTGCATTCCTATAATAAACTATCTTAACCACCTTATATTCCTTAGTAACTGGATGGAACCCAAATCCATAAATCACTTCTTGATTGGGAAATTGAATTGACTTGGGCAGCTCTCTATAATCCCTGGTGAATGGATTGTATATGTAAAGTGCATCATTGTATAAAGAATCAGACAAGCATAGCAAACCATTACATGAGCCTACCACATCAAACTCAGGCATTAAACCAGAGAAAGGGGTGTGGATTTTTCTCACTATTTTTGCCTCTTTGCCACAATGATGAAAAGGGTAGTCTACAAAACAAAGATGGTTTCTGATGGGATAATCACAGTGGAAGATTAGGCATAGATAACTGTTCTCATCAGCCGTGTTGGAGTTACGAAAATGATCAAGAGATTCAAGATTATGTTGGTCTTGAGCTAAATTGCGCCACGCTCGGCATACATACCTGAATTGCACAAGAGATGAAAAGGGCAGCCTTGAAATTATGTCGACGACGATTTCATAGGGTAAATTCTCCATGCCAAGTACTGGTTGATCTTCTCTTTGGTTGCTCCTCCTCCTCCTCCTCCTCCTCATCTGCAGTTCAGAATCTGAGTCCATGGTTTAAGATGAGCTGTGTTCTAAAGGAAGAGATAGGGTCATATAAGAGTAAAGAAAGTAGAAGATTATTATACTTCGTTTTTAGATGTATTTGATGGGATGGATTAAGTATTCAAAGAGACGGCAACTACAAGGAAATAGTGGCATAAAGGATCCAAAATTGAATAATGCACTTGGAGAAAAGTTGGGTTTATCTTTGGGAAGAAAAAGTGATGGTCCTGGCAATCCCCACCATTCAATTTCAAACGCAAAGTCATGATTTACTGCAAAAAAGAATGCAAATTTATTGAATATAGAGCCATGCCAATGGATCCATGACCCTACTGATGCTGACCCAGGAACAAGAAAGTCTTCTATGACAACCAAACAGAGCATGTTTACCACTACTTTGGCTATTGGTGTAGTATAGAATTAAAAACAAGCAAATGCCTTTTCTCTCTCTCTCTCTCTCTCTCTATTAAAACATACAGTTATAAAGTTAACAATGTATCTGGCCAGGAGTTGGTTTAATCTGGTGGAGTTTTGGCCTTTAGGCCTACTTTAAAGAGTGCTCACAAATTCAAACTCATTACATCTAAAGTCTTTCTCTATTAATAAAAAAGAAAGAAAAAAAGAGAAGAAAGAAAGGAACCATACTTAATTTGTGGTCCACTTCCACAACTTTTAATAGAGAGAAGCCCAATACACCAGCCCTACAACCTTAATTGCCCAGGAAAAAAAGAAACAAACCCAAAAAGTAACAGAGCAGACCAATCAAGCAATCTTCAGATTTTTCCAACCAATAAACCCAAAAAATAACTTCCATCGCAACTTTTTGGCGAAGCATGTTTCTCACCTAGAAGATATCAATGCATGTTTAAGCTCTTTTTTTTTACTTGATGTCCAACCAGCTTAAAATTGAATCAACTCCATAACCAGCTTAAAATATACGTATTTATATTCACTTGTATGTGAAGATGAGGCTGGTGAGCATAAATTATATGATCACTAATCATTGAAATTCTGAAAGGCTACAATACAGCTACTCCAATTCCTTGGTGGGGTGGGTGCAACAGCTCCAGCTACGACATTGCCACCACATATTGGGTTAATTCATTCATTTTTATCAACTGAAAAAATAAAAAGGAAAAACAGAGAACATGCTTCCCCTCTGTCCTCCAAAGCTTCTTAGCTCAAATCTTTCTGGAAAAATAAATGGAAATGCTTGAAGTTATAATGAATGTAAAGCCTACCGTATGCGATGTCTTACAATATTTAGGGGTTCAAATCAAATCCACTGGACAAAACAAAATGTATTGAAATTAATACCTGAAATCAGAATGCTGTTTATGTTTTTCATGTTTACAGAAAGAATTCTACAGAGAAAACAAATATGAATACAATCTCTAGGATACATGTTGGCACCTACAAAAACTTCAAAAGCCAAAAAGAAAAACAATTAACAAACCTACAATCAATCCTACACCAATTTGTAACAAAACCCAATAACCCAAATGTATCTTTTTTTCTAGCTAAAGAAGAAAAAAAAAAAGAAAAAAAAAAGAATTCACCCTCATCAAATCAAGCACCACAATTAGCCAAAATGCTGCGCCAAAAAAATTGTGTGCAACTGATGAATTTGATGAGAACTGGGCAGCAAGCAATGAATTTGATATATCTTCCACAATGTACCCAGTATCCGCCATAAACCCCTCTTCATATTAGCTGAAATTCCACCATAAAAAGGCTCTTCTAAAGCTGCAATCTTTGGAAGCTCGCCTCCAAGAACCAACCAAACAATGAACCAAATGGGAACCAGAAATTGAAAACTCTCAGAAAAGGCCGAACAATACCGAAAAGCCGAGGACGATCAGCCAAACTATGTGAACCAAAAGCAGCGCTTGGGCAGAATGGGGGGCAGAGCCCCCACTACCCACCTCACAAAACCCTAATTTCGCCACCTTGACCCCAGCGCATTGGGCATCTTGGCAGCCACACCAGTATGTCACGCCGTCGACGCCGCAGACCGGGTCGGGTCGGAAGCAATTGACGGGGCATAAAGATGGTGACCGGATTGACCCGGCACAGGCGTCGGCGGGTTCGGACTCGGAGGGCAATCGGATGATGGTGGATTCGGTTTGGAGTTCAGATCGAACGGTGGGGAAGGAGCAGATGACGATGAAGAACGCGAAGAGGATTAGGGTAAAGAAGGAAATTAGGGATTTGGGGAATTGGGTATCCATGATCGAATGAAAGATGAGATCTTTGCGAAAAGAAAAAGCAGCCCAAGTAGCCAACCCTCTCCTGAAGCTCTGAACCTTCCCCCAAATTCAAGAAATCCTCGAGCTTTTTCCCCAAATTCGAAGTTGCGCTTTGGGGGTTTCTCAAATTTGAGTTCACGACTGGAATCGAATATGAAATTGCTTTGATTCGGGGAGAGTATAATTGGAGAAAAAATAGGGCTAAATTGAGGAAGCCCTAATTTTGAGGTTGAAGAGGAAAGAAGGGGAAGGAAATTTAGACACTTGGTTGACGCGTGCTTTTCATTCTCTAGAAGGATGTGGAAGCGTCAAAAGGTAGTTTGGATTTTGGACAGTGAACGTTGGAATAGGGCCAAGCTGCCAGCCTTTTGCCTCTTTCTTGTTCATCTACTTTGGTCTTTATGTTCTTTTTAGTCTTTTTTTTTAAAATAGTTAAAAACAAGTTAATTTAATTTCTTTTTAGTTGAAAACAAGAAAATTTATTTAAACTTTGTTTTCATGGTTGCCGACCTTGGACTTTACACAATACTATTCAATATTTTTGTTTATATTTTGAAACTTTGCTTTTCTATGGTATTTTCACACCTTTTTAAATGCGGATTTGCTTCTACTCTTCCTAATCCATATTGGATTTTCTAAGTTGTTTCAGATTTTATTTCCTTTTTTTTTTTTTCGAATGCACTTCTACTTTTATCCTCTTCCTAATTAATATTGGATTTCTGATACCAAAAAAAAGAAATAATATTGGATTTCCAAAGTTGTTTTAGATTCTATTTGCAAGTTTGTTATTTTCTATGAGAATAATGTTAGAGAGACAAGGTTTAGGTTAAGGAGACCACCGTATAGTATGTAATTTTTTTGTTATATATTTTTTGAAATTTTCATGATTTATTGTTTTAATTCCTACTAAATAGCATTTTTAATAAAGCTTTAAAAAAAAGAAGAAAAAAAACTTGAAAATGACCTTGTGTACTGTGTTCATCCTTCATACAATACACCTTGGTTAAAGTGGTGAGCAAAAATATTTATCATATTATTTAGTGAGAGGCCAGTTTTGGACACCTTCTTAGTTTTGATGTTGGTTCACCTTCCCCTAAAATTATGTCATGCTTAACTATTAATTATTTCTTACTCATTAGCTAGTGACATGAAAAAGTATTTTCCTTCAATAAATAACATTTTAATTAGAAAAGTAGACTAGTTGTCTGTATATTAAAAAAAACCAAAAAGTAGGCTTGTTGTCAAACATGGTGTAATGTAAAGTGCTCAAAAAAGAAAGAAATTAATTACTTTTTTTTTAACCCAAAAATAAATAAATATATCAAATTAGCTAATTATCTTTCTTTTTTTTCCTTTGCAATTACTCCTTGTTTTAAGATTCCCATTTTGGTTATGACCCCAAACCCATATCACACACAAGAAGGAAACATGAAAAGAAAAAAAAACAGAAAAAAAAAGTTATTGTTCCTACTGTAATAAGGAAAGTAAAATAATTTGCCTGGTCAAAGGCAATTTCCTACTTGGTTTTGTATTAGAAACAGAAACAAATCACCACCAAATTGGTGTATATATAGTAGCATATCAAATTAAAACCATGAACATAATTTTATTTGCGCAGCAGGGCTTTGGCTAATTAAATTAATTCAAGAAAGCATTATGAAGCTGGGCAGGCCAATCATCCCTTACAATAATAAAAGTAATAATAAATCTCCTCTTCTTCTTCTTGGCAATGGCAGCAATGTGCTTCATCACTTTAGCCCTGCTGAGATTGAAGTGTCTGAAATTCTGCTTGAGATGGCTACACTCATCTATGAATGTTCCAATCAGAATATGAAGCATGGGAAGAGTCAAGACCAAGCTGAACCGTCGATGGTTCATGATCATGGCCGCCGTCACCATCAGACGGCTAATGTTGATGTAATCAATACTAATCGAGTTGTATTTGATATCATTCCTGATCTCAACGAGCCTTTTTCTCTAGAGGAGGAAGAATCGGCTGCGGTTGAACAAGGGAAGACTCTAAAGTAGATTTTTAGATTAATGGGCTAATGTCCCTTTTTGTTGTTGTTTCGGTTATGTGTTCATGAATTAATAGAATAAATGTTGTTTCATATCTACTATCTCCCCTTTTGATCTTCGTCAGATATATGTGATTTTTGAGATAAAAACAATAGATTGCATTTATAATTATGACATATGTGATTTTGAACGTTCAACATAAGTATACAATTAAGAGGGGTAAAAAATCGATGTAAGCATCAATTACTAAAAATTTGGCCAGGAAGAAAAGAGGTTGTAATAACAAATTTGTAATATTTGACCCTAGTTTCGAGAGTACGTCTATAGATAGTTTCATGGTTTGAATTGTTTAATGATAATGACCCTTTCCTATTAGGGCCATAAAACTGCCTTTTAATGTTGTCTAAAGAGAGTGATTTGTGAAGTATCGTGTTATAATATAGGTCAACAACAAGATCGATATATGTCATGAATTTAAGAGATAAAAACAATGAATAGATACATATGTTATACTATAAGTAGCGTGATAACATCACGTAACGGTGTGGCTGACACACATAAAAACTACTCATCCCGAACATACTCATTTGAACATACACATAAAAACTCTCTTGTTGGTTCTTCACTTAGTGATTGAACAACATTGACTTGAAGACTAATAAAAAAAACACACCAAGAGCTGTTGAAAGAGACATGTTCTATACTCTACATGGTTTTGATTTTTCTCTCTTAATGGTATGCCCAAAGCATGTGTTAAAAAACAAACAACAAGTGACCACAATTATAATTGCTTTTGAACGCAAACAAACAAGGAGTGGCCTTCATTTTCTTAAAAGCATAATCAATATACTTTTTTCTTAATCAAACATCCCGCAGAGTGACTAGATATTTCAAAGGGTTTGAATTTTTTGTTTTTCTGGCTTGATTCTCTTCTTTTTTCTTTTTTCTTTTTTAAGAAAAGAAAAAAAAAAGGGATTCTCTTCAATTCATGGGTTTGAATTTGTATATACTGGATGTGCTTGGGTCCTAACCATTATTAATTAAAAGACGGCATAGCTTGACTCATTAGCCATTAGATGGGTTGCCCACTAATATATTTATGTATTTCTAGACAACTTTTTATTTGTATTTTTATTTATCAAAGATAAACTTCAATATTATAATTAAAGATGTCAACATCATATTTAAAGGACTAATTCTAAAAAAGCAACAAACTAGCATGTTAAAAACAAAAGTAAAGCAGACAAGTAAAGCTTCATTATATATATATATATTGAGGGATCTCTCAAATACCCTTTAGGGTCCCCTATGTATTTTTTTTCAACGATCCAAACCATATATTTTTTAAGACTACATTCATAGATCATTCTTGCAAAAAATTAGACAAATTGGAAACCATTTCGACATCTAATTGTGTCCTACAAAATCAATGAACACGGTGCTTCAAGAAAGTACTAAAATTTCAATAATTCAATTGAGTGGTCAAATGATATCGGATTCAAGTAATTTTTTATAGAGATGATCTTTGAATGAACTCACTATATATATATATATATATATATCACTTAGATATATAGATAAAATAAGAAGGCAAAAAGGGTCGGGATATGTTAAAATTTTGATTTTAGTTGTGGGGTTAAATCCTCACTACCAAGAACCAACTATAATCTCATAAACATATAGTTTGTTGAATGTGGATGCAAAGTGCGTTATTTGAGTACCTGCCGACCACCAAGAATAATTAATTGGATTAATCCACATTATATTTAAATGCAAAAACAAAAAACAAAAAAAAATAGTACAATATTGGGAAGATTTTTTCTCCAAAGTTTGACAAACGTAGGTCAAAAGTGGAACTATGAGTAAAGACTTGTTCTAGACCTACTTTGCGCGTTTAACCCAACACCAAAACTTGAAAAGGATTTGATGAAAGATCGATAGCTATCTATTAGGAGACCAAGTTCTTAGATATGTATGTAGGAATTAGTAGGCAATATTCCATACCTTTTCTTTAATGGCACTTGACATGAACTGGATGAGCATTGACTTTGACCTTCATGTACTGATATCCCTGATCAGCTCCAAACTCCATTACGAGTAGGTATTTTTAATTATATACTTTAGAATAATTGGAGATAACACTAATGATTCTAGTGTGTTCCTACAAGTTAAATAGAGATTGAAGATAATATATACAATGGGAAATTCATTTGAGAAAAAAACATAGAGTATTACAAGTAGGGAAATGTTCTGAATTAGCACCATTATGGGGCTGTTATTACTGTTTATATTGTCCTGTTTTAAGGATAGCAAAGTCTTAAAAAATTCTGGATGTGACATAAATAAAGCATCGTTATTATTATGTCTATACGGTCGATTTTCTATCGTAGTGCTATTTGAGAAGATTACTATAATACCGGTGTTACATTTTCTCCCTTGTTTTCCTATGTACCGGTCAATCATTTTCCACGCCTAAATTTACCAAACAACAAGGCATTTACTTTTTTCATTTGTTGGTTGTGAAACTAATTTGAGTATATGGAGGTTCATGAAACCTAATTAATCACTTTTTCAGACAACCACTAGTGGATTAATAATTTTGTTCTTTTCCTAGAGGATGCTAGCTCCTAAGATAAAAAGAAGGGCTTGTCCAATATAGGTCCCTACAATTTCTATTTCCTAGACATATACCCATCATCCTATAAATCTATGTGTAAAACCCAATTTCAAACTTAAATAACCAGTAGGATATAAGAGGTCATAGTATTCCTATGTTTTTACATCATTGCCATCAAACTTCATATTTAATTTATAATTTATTCCATGCATTTCATTACCTGCCATAATTGTAATTAAAACTCCCTATTAATAGCATATCAATCATCCCATTTCTTTTGGTTGCTATACCCTCTAACATATCACCCCCTAAAATTACAAACCAAAAATATATATATGTAAATTACATATCCAATAATGTACATATGAAAAAAAAAAAAAATATATATA